ACTTGATACACATCAGAGGAAGACACTCAGTTACCTACTGAGACGGTTTTTCTTTTCACAACGTTGGGTTGGCCGCATGACAACCACAAAGGCCCTTTTGACATCTTTCTGACCATCCTCTTGCATTTTTGTAAAATTCTTCCATTAAAGTCCCTGTGGTTGACTTATTTTCTTGACGAGAATAAAACAGTCTGGATAGAGACCATTGCAAATTTAGTATCAATTATTGTACATATTTCCATTTATTGTATATCTACATTTGGGTGTTTGTCCGTTTAAGAGATTCTTGAACAAAGGCAAGCTATCCAAGACATTGATGTTGTTGTGAGATCCTGGCATTCCAGATCCACAAGTCATGTGACTCCCAGGGATCCAAGCATCCCTGGAAAGCCTCTTTCTTCCCCAATTTCCTCAAGCGCTTGAGATGTTCATTTGATTCTCAAAGATAAGTGGGAGTGTAGATTTGAACTACAGAAGTACAAAAGTGCATGGACTTCAAAAAAAAACTTACTCAACAGCCTGCAGTTGACATGCAGCATGCTCCAGTCAACCTTCTATCCAAAATCCACCTGTTTGCATATGTAGATGTTTTGGCACAGTGACTGTGCATCAGAGCTTAGTTGAATCACTCATGGAGAAAGGTTGGAGTAACAACATTAGCTTCCTGGGGTTTTCTGCATGTCAACTGCAGGCAGTTGAGTGAGTTTTTTTTTGCAGTGTGAGGCTTTCATTTGAAGTTGATTCAGCCAGGAAAAGATACTGGTCATTGAAGTCAGCTGCTCTATCGTATGCAAGCATCCAGATGGCTGAGGTGATGTTCTGCAAGGGTATCAGGCCTGGCTTCCCCAAGGCATTGGCCTTTTGACAAAAATATTCATTGCGGTCAGTAACTTCCTGCAAAATCTTGAAGAAAAGCAGCCTCTTCATTCAAAATTGCCTTTGGAACATGGATGCTGGATACATAGGATCCACAGCAAAGTAGTCCTGGAAAAGATGCATGTATCTGGCTTCAAAGTTTCTTGGGAGATTGGGCAAGACCCGCCATGTGGAAGGTGCTTGTGTTGAGAATCAAGTGCTGGTGGATTGTGCTATTATGAATCATTATTTGTTGATTGGCAAGTAAAATGGGAAGTAGCTTGTCCAAATCTTTCTTCTCCTCATTGAGGATGGTGAAGAGAAAAGTACAGAGAGGATTGAGGGAAAAAAGATATTCAAGGTTTGGGCAGGTTGATTATCAGGGGTTGGTTCTGCTGGGGATTGTTGGTTGGCAAGGTTGACATGCATTGCTAAACATGCCTGTGGGTTCTAAGTTTGCCCGATAACAACTCAGGTTTGGGAGCAGCTGGTCTGATACAGGGCTCTATGTCAGGAAATTCTGAAACGCCGTCCCGAAGCTCTAAAAGACCTGTCACCCGGGTTTGAACCGGGGTTACCAGGAGGCATCGGAGAACTCGTCAGAACCTGGTGTCCTAACCACTAGACGATGACAGGTTATGCTTAGCCGAATGCGCAGGACTTATTCACGATTTGTGTTTTTTACGCGCGCGGAAGCAATTCTTCCGGAGCCCTCATGAGTAATCTTGTGCATGCCGCGAGGATGACAGCACTACCAACCCAATCCTCATCGACCAACAGAAGGGCAGACTCTGGATGTCTGAACGAACGACCAGTCCGTTTTCAAGTCGAACTCCGGATCCTGAGTCACGCAAGCTCATCCGTAGAACATATCGACCAACTGCTTGATGAAAAAGAAATGCTTAACCGGTCGGTCGGGCTGATAGACTCTTACCTGGGCGTATCTGACGACAAGTCGCTCTGCAAGTTGCAGTTGGACTTATTCAGCGGCGATCCTCCTGAATTGCCTGCTAGCTTGGCCACCAGCGATCATCAACACATTGACCAAGACGCGGTGGGCCCGGTCGATACATCCTTAGGGGAGGACGCACTGCAACATTGTATACCGCCAGTTGAGTGAATACGCTTGGCAAGTATTCATTCATTGAGCCGTGCTGATCCCGCTCGCCATCACTTAGCCGTATCATTCTCCCGCGGTATCAGTCTCTACCGGTTTGCTGATTCGTGATTGGAGTGGTTGCTCGACTGACTTTCACAAGCCTTCAATTCTCGATCAACAAGCTCGTCTCAGATTCCTCAAGCCGTGGCACCACTTCACCTCACTGAGCACCACAAAAGATCCTACTTACGATTTGAACTGCTTGTCTGCCGGTTTATCGCCGGATTCCCAACGGCGAGGTTTTTGGTTGATACCGGTGTGGAAATCGAGCGTGACGAGGAATGATTATTATGGCCGGTTTGGTCATCTGATCAGCTTACCCACATGGTCAGACACTAGCCTGTCCCAACCAATCAACCCAGCTTCCACCACTCCAGAGCTTCAGAAGTCTCGGATACCCACTCCAATTATCTGGAATCCTATTCGACTGAGTTTGTTTTGGAACGTGATTTGTATCATTTGTGAGAAGCGCAAATTAGGTGATGTTTTCGCGACGGCAGTGTGAGTGTCTTCCAATTGTCCATCGCCTGATCACCCCACTTGCCTCTGATTTGCGACTTCTTCGAATATTAGGGCTACCAATCACACGAAAGACATTCTACCATACACTCAACCGATCTCGGGAAACAATACTCCAGTCCCGCTAGAACCTGAATGCGTGGTGGGGGATCATCTAAGAATCTGGTCCAGCCTCCAAGCTTCCTTGATTGTCCGCCGAGTAATATCTGATATTACTATCAAGTCTGCCATTCAAGCTCACGATCCAAACAAGCAATCTTCGGTACCATTTCTGAACTTCAATTCGAGTCGCGAAGATCTCGAAAGGCAGGCGGGAGATTACGAACACAAATGGCTCAAGAACTGCGCCTTTATGTGGCATGATGAAAGTGGAACACCTAAAGGGTATGGATGATCAAAGTGTTTATAAATAGTCATAATATAAACAGAACAAACCTTGTCTTGCCACAATTGTTCTTGACAACTCATCTAGAGGGCTTCACTATGAAAGACATGACTGGCTCAGCGGGACAGGATCATGATGATAGAGCAGTGGGTCAGCACTAGAATATTACATGATCTAATTTGACACCTGTTATACTTGGTGGTGCTACTTGAGTCAGAAAGGCAGCTTAGCGTCATAATTTGTTCACAATTCTTGTGATTATTACTGAAAACGTATCTCTACTGAGCTAGCTCATTTGAAAAGCATTCATTGGTTCTAAAAACACTTTAAACTGGGTCTAGTTCTAGCACCACCTTTTAGTAACAGGTCAATATGTGACCCTTACATGCCCTCTATACATCAGGACCAGAGCTGAGTCTGAGGGTATTGTGGGGGTAACCTGATCTTCTGGGGCCTGCAAGAAGGGGTTTTTTGGGGTTCCCAGGGATTTATATGGATAAGGGGAAGGAATTCAAGGGGAACTACT